GATAAGACAGTTGTTCAATGTCTGAAGCTGTGTGTAGAAGCCTTCATAAGTTGAGTCTTTGTTTATACTTATAAGAGTCTGTAAGAGTTTAAAAGTTAATGTCTTCTTGAGCATACTAATCTTCATTCAATTCTTTCAAGATTGATCACCTACTTCTAAGATTTTAGTGTTAAAGTCAGGAATGAATATTGTAGGAGAAGTGTTTCTCTGTCAGACACTCTGTAATCAATCTAATACTTTTTATTACATGACAGTGTCTCAGAACAGAACATCAAGATATTTAATAATATTATTAAATATTTATAATACTGATTCACATGCTTTCATTCATGAGTAAAACTTCTATTTTATGTAATTCTTCAATCATTTATTCATATATTAATCTTGATTGTTTAGTGAACTGATGATATCTTCATCTATACTCAGTTTCATGAGCATTTTCATTCTTCATGATAAGTAGAGAGTGAGATTAGAAGTATTAAAATATACAGAAGTATCTAAGTGTTCTTTCAGTGCTTTTATATTTGATTCTATCAGTATTGAAATTGTCTGTGCAGGGATTTCTTGTTAAGATAATTATTAAATTTCTTTATATTGATGTTGTTAAGTTGCATGCATATCAGCTATTTATTGTTATTATAATTTTAATATTACTCAGAGTCACTGTGATACTGTGTCTATACTCATGTTCAAGAGTTCTCTTATACTATTATTAAACATGATTATATTGATCATTGAATGTGTGATATCTGTGAAATTGAAAGAAGTATAATTGTATGAATATCTTATACATCTATAGTCTCAGAACTCTCAGATCTTTCACTGATCTTCTCTTTGTAAGATCTTATTCTCTTTATAAGATCTTGTTATGAGGCTAGAATAACTGATGAGTAAGCTTCTATCTGAGAACTCAGTATCTGCTAAACTGATTGACTGTTTCTCTATTTCTTATATATTATTATATGTTCAGATATCTTCTTAATGAATAATCATTTCTAATAAGAAGATAACAAACATTTTTCAAGTGTAAGAGGCCTACACTGAATAGATCAGTATAATATATAGGTCTTATATAACAAAGTGAAAAACATTAGAGAAGGAAAGAAAGAGAAAGTGCAGAAATCAGTGATCAGAGTAAGTATTTATATGTGTACATAGTGAAGCTTCAGAATGAAAGAATAGAAATTCCATAGGTTTTTCAGCTGAGAATCAGTGACTGAGAATCAGAGCTTACGGCGGAATCTGTAAAGTGTAATAGAATAGTCTATATAATTGATCGGGCGCAGCCCGTCATACATAGTTAAAGAAGTCAGCTTTAACAACTATCTTATAATCAGAATTAAATATTATCAATAGAGAGATATTAATGAATATTCTCTTTATCTGTGTAAATACAGCTTCAGTGTTCACTAATCACTGAAATACTGAGTTTTTCTTAATAAGTTCTGTAAGTAATCTTACAATATCTGAGAAATTTCATATAAATTACTGATAGAAGTTAGTAAATCTGATGAAGCTTCATACATCTTTCACAGTATATGAAGCTTCTCATTTAAGAATGATGAAGATTTTCTCAGAATTTATTCAAATTCTCTTATCAGCTTCTATAATAAAGTCTAGATATTTTGTACTCTTGACTTTGAAATTATACTTATCAATATCTATTAATAGTTCTACTTCTTATAATTATTATAATACTTTTCATACATATTTCTGATATTTCTTTCTGAATTTATCAGTGAAGATGAGAATATTATCTAGATATATAGATACAAACTTATTAAGAAAATCTCAGAGTATTCAGTTGATATACTTCTGAAATATACTGAGAGCATTAGTCAGTTCAAAGAATGTGACTAATTATTCAAAAAGATTATAATATGTTCAGAATACTGTAAGTCATTCATCTTCTTCAGTGATATAAATCTTATAAAACACAGTAATAACATCTAGCTTTGTAAATTATTAAGCTCATCTGATACATACTAGAGCTTCATTAATAAGAGATAAGAGATAACAATCTTTCTTTATCAATCTGTTCAGATCTCAATAGTTCACACAGAATCAGAGTTCTTTATCTGATTTCTTTGCAAAGAGAATAGAAGCTGCAGTAGAAGAGTTACTAATATATATAAATCTTTTATTTAACAGATTATTGAGTGTCTTCTGAAGAAGAAGAAGTTCATCTTAAGATATATTATAAAGAGAGTCTTATAATAACTCAGAGTTCTTATCATTTTTCTTTTCTAACTTGATACTGTGATTCACTTCTGAGTCTTATAAGAAAGATATATTTATAATATTATCTTATCAGAAAATATCTAGATATTCATGATATTATTAAGAGAGTTTTGTATAATAATCTGTTATTATAGTATAAGATAACTTCTCTAGAGCTTTCTTAATATCAGTCAGACTGATAGAATAGATTGCTATATAATTCTGCCATCAGTGACTTTATCAGTGATCTCATTGATAACTTCTTTTTCAGAGCATTTTATAAGCATTAACAGAGATCTATATAAGATTCATAGTTCTGTAAATATTATCTTCATGAATTCTATCATTGTTAGAGAATATTTAGCTTCTGTTTTAAGTATTTAATAAGATGTCTTATTCAGATAGTCAGACAAGTTCTAGTATAAGATTATAATCAAGAATATTAACTTTATATATATAAGTATCTTCATATTAATGTTTTCTGATATCTGTATTTAGTTTCATTATATAACAGATGTGAATGTCTTTTAAATCATCAAATTCTACAAGAAGTCAGAGTTTTAATAAGAAGATACACTGAAGGTTATAATATCTTACAACTGAAGATTTAATTATTGTAAAGTAACATAGACTGCTGTCTATCATGACTTTCATATTATATATATTATCAATCACAGTAGATATAAGAATCATATTCATTGTTATTTTCTCTTTAAATTATTATTATTCAATCTCTTCAAGCTTTCATTTACAAATTTGAACAGAAGCTAATCTTTTCTCTATTTCATTGAGATATTCTTATAGATATCTTCTGAATCTGTCTTCAGTGCAATGTGATTGATATGAACTATCAGCATTGATCTTTCTTTTAAATAAGAAGATATATAAACTGATTGACAGTTGAAAGTAATATATTCTGATTAGTTACAATTAATACACATCTCTTATTAATATTAATTAATGACTTCTTCAATCATTTATTAATATATCAATCTTGATTGAATTAATTCTGAATTAATTATTAATTAATTATAGTAACAAAAATAAACTCAATCTGTATATTTAAGTAATTAACAATTGATTGAAAATCAGTTAATAATTAATTCAGTGTAAATTATATACTTATCTTACAGTTCTTACTTCATTATCAGATTCAAAGTATTACATTATAATTATTAATAAAATCAGTAAAGTTTTCTCTATATATAAGAATTATGATGAGAGAAGAATTGTTTTACAATCAATTAAGAATTGATTATAGGATTGATGATAAATAATTAAGAAAGAAAGAGTGATTTCAAATTACAAGAAAGTGGCACAGGCCACATTTGCGAGGTCAGCTTACATAACAAGGTCAAGTGGCGCACTTAGCGAGGTCAAGTTTTCTGCTTCCTGCTAGGTAGCAACCTTTTCAATCAAGCAAGCTTTACACCTTCCACAGATACGAGGTAGTTTAGTGTCATGCTGGATTAATAATTAATTTGCGGCAACTGAGAGCAGAACAAGGATGTTTTTCTCCACGCAAAAAGCCTATCCATCAGCATATATCCTGTTTTGCTGTCGGAGCATGGCATGGTGATGCATTTACTACGTATTAAGCTTGCTAGCCCCCTTCTTCCATTTAGGAACTTGAATCAATCAGTTCCCTTCCCGTGGGGTTGTGGTGAATGATGATTACACTACGGAGTAGTTAACCAATAATGCGACAACCACGCCAGTTCATGACAGCGCAATTCTTCTATCTATCCCCCAGGTCTCTCTCATCCTCTCTCATCTTTACGGACACAATTGTTACCTGCGTCAATTCTTCCATGGATACAAAGTGCGCTGGTGGTGATTGAGCTCTTTTGCCCTAGTAGCCTACATCATTTAGGTTTGCTGTTCTGGATCGCTAGTTATTTATTTATAGTAGCGCCCGTTTTCAATTAAGTTAAGTTAGTTAAGTTAGAGATCAGCCAAGCCACCCCAGACGACGATCTCAGGGCGGGCAAGGGACAACACACACGATGTCAGATGCGCTTCTGTTGCCATGTCTTGCAACAATGAGCTGGGGCCTCGGGAAGGCCGACTCGTTTTCTTTTTTATATTTTGATTTTATTTTTTTTACTACCTCGCCAGGAGGCGATCGTGGCGGCAGCTACTACTGGGCAGTTTAACTGTAGTTAACTAACTAATAACTGCTGCCTCGTTCTGTTTACTCTCCCATCCATCTGTCCAAGCTAACGTTCATAAAAAAATAATCCCTTCGCTTGTTGCTTCCTGTTGTCCGCGGCAACTTTTGCCTCACAACCTAACATATATTCGTTTCTCCTCTATTTCCTAATTTGGTGGCGAATATATATATACTTCAAAACCAATAATAGCTTCTTGTTTTCCCAAGATGCACCTGGTTTATGGCCGTCGCTTCAACCTTCCCAATCCTGGTGATCCAGAGTTTTCCTGGCTAGCATGACCTATGGTCTAGCATGTGGATACCCACTATTCCTGGTATTTTGCCATCATATCATATCATGGTCCGGGGCTATAAGAAAGGAAGAAGAAAGTAGCTAGTTTTTCATGGAACTGCCAAGTATATATTATACTTGTTTCAACGATCCTGCCTCCTGCCAACGGGTTGTTCATACTAACATTATCAGGATTCTGATGAACCTGTACACTCATTCAAAACATATACTCCTTTACGCTCATTTATACATCCTATTCCTGCACTCTCCACAGATAACATACACATACACATACACACCCGCAGTCACATCCAAGCGGATAAACGAAGAACAAACATGACCACCCAATTGCAAACAGAATCACCCTTAACGACATCATCGTCCTGGATAGACGATGCAGAATTCCTCTGCTTCAGCCCGAACTTTGCTCACTACGAGCCTCCCTCCACGAGCCCGAAAGCCCATAAATGGCAGCGGGTCCCAATGCAATATGAGCACGAAATGTACCTCCAACTCACAGCGGGCGACGACGGCATCATTGAGAAAACGGCAAACCAGCTCTATCTGGAGGTAAATAGAATAATCCCTCTCTTCAACAGCCGCTTATCATACTATATACCCCATGCTCTTGCATGTCTTTTACATTTGCACATGTATATACATGTGCAAATAAATGAAGTCAAATCAACTTCCGGAATTCCCTCTCAGCCCGCCCACTATCTAGCCCTATTTACACCCCTTACTCACGGACTTTCATGAATGAATCCAGGAACGACGACGCCGCCTACATTCTCGATCTCAAGACCCGGCCGTCTCCGGCCCGCAAGAAAACTCCCCGAGCCCTATAGACTTTGAATGTGCCGAGATGGAGCGGATACGAGCTGTTGAGCGCCAGCGTGGGGGGCCCGTGCGATCCGCTTCGACTGTACACCCGTCGTCGTCGACGACGACGACGACGACGACTACGACTACGACTACGACTACGACTACGACTACGACTACGACTACGACTACGACTACGAGTACGAGTACGACTGAGCAAAGTAGTCCGCAGGACTCGTCGGAGCCGAGAACGATGGCGACGATGATGACGAGGGATGACTGGCTCTTTTGCATTTGAAGAGAAGGGGGCAATGTGCTCTTTTGTTTATTAACTGTGTTTTGCATGTATTATGATGAGATATGACAGACTTCTCTTGTGTTTTTATATGCTGAGAACTATTTTTTTGTGCTCTCCTGTTTTTAGCCTGGGTGTTGGGATAGGTGGGATATTTGAATTTTGGTCAAATGGGCGTTGAATTGTCAATGGTGGGGGGTTTTTGGTTTTTTTTTGCATACATCCATTTACATCAATTCGATGGAGAATTATGTAGCAAAAAATGGTTATTGTTTTCTATTGTAGTTTGCGGGCAAATATCACCAAATATGAAATACGGATATTGCATCTAGCCTAAGTATGACCATAAAATACCTTAGCTAATTAAAAGTGATTAGTTAAGGTATAATAACATGGCAGCTCGGAAGGAAAATAAGAGGGAGCGAAGGGGAAGAAGGCATAAAAACCCTCTGAGCTGAGAGTGAATGGACATGAATCACTTCATGGCAAATAGGTAAAAAATATGAAAAACAAACAAGGCCTGAGAATCAATTAACACACAAGTATCCCATTTGCGATAAAACCACACATAATTAAAATGTGAAACAAGTAGGGAAGTGAATGCAGAAATACATCAATAATAAGCAATTCGTCCCATCCCATCCATCACACCCTAATCTCGTTAAATCATATTCAAAGAAAGGGGGGGGGAGGGGTTATAAAAAAAAATAAAAAAATAAAAAAAAATAAAAGTTATCATGAATGGCCCGTCCCAACAAGTCCACCTTCCACTCCTTTCCCATGCGGCTTATGACCATGGTAACTCTCCCCCCCCTCCATCTCCATCTCAACAATAAACCGCTCCCAAGTCGCTAGCACCCCCTGATAAAACTCCACATGCTTCTCCGCCAACGCTCCCAGCGTATCACGGAACTCCACGGCCTTAATGCGTTCAAAATCCGCCACTTCCCGGACGACCTCCTCATCGAACATCTCTGAGGTGGTCTTGGAACTTTCGACTTCCCGCGTTAGTTCGTCGATGCGTAATTCTAGTTTGCGGATGCGTTCGCGGCGGGATTGTTCGTGGTCGACGCCGCGCATGTCTTCCATTTTGGAACGGATGAAGGAGGCTGGGTTGCTGGTAAGTGGGTTGGGGGAGTAGTAAGAGGCCGGGTTGTTGGCTAGGGAGTCGCGATCGAAGACGGCTTTGTTCCTGTAGTCGACAAGGGCTTCAAAGTCTAATTGTTTCTGTTCGCGGGTTTTTAATAGGGATTTCAGGGAGAGGATATATGCTTCCATATCCCGTAGACTGCCCAGGTAATTTTGATCGGTGTGGTCTTTGAGATTCCTTATACCCCGTGCTGTCTCTTCTACTGACGCAGCAAAGATTTGCAAGGGTGCCTCGACGTCTGGCTCGAGCAAGACCAGCTTGCGAAACTGCGTGGCTAGTTCGTTGTAGTCGGTTTCTAGATCCGATTCTCTTCTGGATACCCTTGCCACTATCTTCTCGACGTGATTCAAGTCTTCATCTAGTTTATCGGCTTTCTCCCTCACCTCAATGAACCGCTTGTCAGGTTTATGCACCTTGGTGAAGGCGTTTACGAAAGTGTCTGCAAAATTATCGAAAATCCCGGTTGGTCCGCCGCCGCCATCAGACGTACTGGTGGAAGTACGTGATGGGCGAAGGCGCATATGCGCGTTCCAATCTGCTGATTCAAGGAATACAACGAGGATGGGAGCACGGCGGAGAACGGGGTGGAGAGATAGCCGCTTGAGGAATCTGTGGAGGGACCAGGCGCGACGGTTGGTAAAATCGGTGCCAAAACGATCCCCGCGCACGTATTCCATCTTGTGCTTGTCAGGAAGCGGAGGGACGGCGCATGCTGGATATTCGCGGAATAGTGTGTTGTACAGGAAATTGAAATCTGAATAGCGACGACGGACAGCGAAATCTGGCTTTTGGAAGGATTTGAAGTCGGTCTGGCAGAGTTACCGGAAAAAAGATATGTGTCAGCTCTGCGGGGGCTATGCGGGATATGTACTATTTTGTATGTGAGAGAGAAGCGGAGTGAACACCAACATGGGTCGTGATGAGATAAGATACATAGGCATCTTTCGTGCCACTGTTTTCCTTCAACGGCGAATCCACTGTGCATTCAAGTATGCCATCTGCAATTCCAGCAAGGTCACCTCCAGAGTGTGTAGAAAGCGGCGGCCCTTCCTCGCCGGTCGAGCTCATCCTCCGTTTTCCGTTGACATCATAGTCCGATCTCTCAGGTCCCTCAGCATCGGTTCCGGACGTGGTTGGCCTTGAGACATCGCTATCAGGCCCATTCCTCCAAGACACGCTGTCAAAGTCGCTATGGTCCATTGTGGTCCGACCTCTGAGGGAACCTGGGGTATGAGCTAGCGTCAGCAGGCGGAGTCGGGCAGCTGGGGATGGAGATTCTAGCTTCTAGTCGTGGTCATAAAATAAATCCGAACATCCAGGGAGCTACAGCACAAATAGGTCAGTCCAGATATCCGTCTAATGAATCCGCGCCAGTGTGTAGTGTGATAAGAGAAGCAGAGGCGGTGCTCAGGCAACTCCGTTTCGGGAAGCGGGATGGAAGTTGGTCTGCTTGGACAGTCATCAGTCACGTGACACCTCTTGAGCCAGAATCTCTTGGCGTCGTCATCGCCAAACCGCACTTTTCTTGTGGCTGAGTAAGTAGGTTCCATGATAGAAACATTCTTACAGCTTACAGAGCAGTGAGAACCTTTGCAGTTTCTGGAAAAAATGTTATTATGTCCCATTTGGGGCCAGATCATAATGTGATAATAATTGAATAAGCTGTTCTAAATAAATCTGGCTGTCCCTGCTTTCGAGTCCGGTAACCTTTTCGATCGTGTCCCGCCCCGCCCCGCCCCGCTCCACCCCCACCTGTCAGGGAATAAACATGCTCCACCCCCCCCCCTCGGTCCCTCGCACAATAGCGCTCTCCGCCTCAGCAGCTCGTCAATCAAACAACCAGAAAAAAACTAACACAGGACATTAAAACATATCTCTCCACCCCTTCAGACAAGCCTCATAGCCGCCCCCTTAACATGCGCGATCCTCAAACACAACGCATCCCTCCCCTGCCTCATCCTCAACAAAGACAGCGTAGCTTGCAAGTTATACTGATCGAGCGGCGATGATGGCGGGAACGCATTACCAGCCCCCGTCGTCTGGTCCCAGAGGATCTCCAAGCCCTCGAAGGTAAAGTCTTCCATCAGGTGCGGGCTGCGCGATTGGATCTCGTTCTGGATTAGGCGCAGGAGGGCGCCGTGGGTTATACAGGGGTCGATGAGAATTGGGGTGGAGAGGTGGGAAAAGCGGAGCATTACGGGGATTAGGGCGGGGGCTAGGGTCATTGTGGTGTGGTGAGTGGGTGATCGGAGGAGGATTCGAGGGGCTCGGTGAGTTGTATAGATAGTATGGATTTGATTAACGCCGTTGGTTTGAATGATGGGGGTTGATATTAGTATATATTTATATATATGCTTTGGCTGGCGAGATATCTAGGGCAGCAAGCTTTCCCCAACTCAATGGGATAGATATTTCGAAAATATTTCAGATATTTCTGCTGGCTTGTCGTTGTGAACCTCCCGTCCTCAAGACTCACATCAACGTTAATCTCAGGGTGTGGCGTATTTGTATTTTAACTCCCGTTCTCTGCAACCGTCGTACTTGCCGTTGACATACGTTACTCGTCAGATTATCATCATAAGTTACTCAATGTCGTGCATCTCGTAACATACATATATTGTGTGCGACGGTAGCAGCCCCGCAGCACCCGGTGTCCAACAAAGAATGGCTGACCGAATGCACGAATCGGCCATTCCAGCTTCCATGGCTTGCATATGCACATTAGCTTTATCAGGTATACCACTCCCCCTTCTCTCTCCTATTCAACCCCCCCCCCCCCCTTCTTCATCCCAACCTTCCTCTCCCGATCCTCTGAAAACCCCTCCCACTCAACCCTCGTCCACCCCACCCCTCTCAACCCCAAACCATCCCGCCTTCTCCTTCAGAAAGATATGTTTCTGCGGTAACCCTTTCAACACCTCCGCAGTGTCAACCTGGCCAAAATTTCCATCAATGAAGCCTGCCGCTGGGCCCAAAACTTTCCGGCTCGACATCATACTGCATGGAAACTGTCGAACCGCACGATTCACAGAAGTCGCGCGAGGCTATTTAGCTGAGCGCCTTAGTGTGGGCGCTCCATTGTTGCTGCTGGTTGGGGTTTTGGGGGGGTTGTTTGTAGATGGGGTTGTGGAAGTTGCAGTGAGTTAGATGGAGATGGTATGTGGTGGAGGTGAAGGAGGTTTTGGGGCAGAGACAGCTGCCTTTAAGAATGGGTGGTAGAGGCATGGTTGGATATGTTTTCTAGCATCGGAGTTAGAAGTAGATAGGTTCGGGGTTTTGTTAATGTTTGATAACTCCCGGTTGCATGTGCTGGGTACCTATTAGGCTTATTTACAGATATCCAGAAATTTATCACACATGTGAATTTCTTATTGTCCTGGAGGGGTCTCTTGTTCTTGCATGACACCACCGATTTGGTCCCGTATATGCATAGCCTTTTACAACCTCTATAGTGCCTAACAGCCAGCTGTGTGAGTAACTCTGGCTTTGACAAGATGTACTACTGAACCGCTTACCGCATATTGTGTGGTGAAGGGAAAGGGAGCTTGGAATTAGCAGAAAATTGAGTAAAGAGGAAGAAGGAACATATAACAATGCCCAGATGAAGATATCTATTCTTCTCAATCCCTGTCAATATCCGATCTCCGTGATATAGACGTACACGTACAGTACATGCAAATGCATATATGGTTATGCCTCGAATCGATCCATGAAAAAGCGACGGACAGAAAGCTGATTGGATATATATGCCTGAACGCCAGATCGTAAAGACCTCTTGATAGGAACATCAACGCCTCCCAGAAGAGCTAGACAACATGGCAAAATGTAATGGTAACACATAAACAACCAAAAGCAGAAGCGCAGAGGCGCTTCGCTCTAATGCCGGGAATACCATATCTCCATAGAACAATCGAAGGACCAAGGCTTAATTAACTCCCTGAAATAGGTAGCAAGGGGCGAAGATGAACAGATAAAAATCAAACAACAAAAGGTAACAGGCATTCAGGGGTCGGAAAATATATATAGTTAAAAAGGGGGTGAAGTAAAAGAACTTTAAAGGGAACGCGCAAAAAAAAAAAAAAAAAAAAAAAAAAAAAAAAAAAATCTAAAAAGCTCATCAAAAATGAACAAAAACACAAACCCGCTATGTCTTCTCACTTAATCCACCACTACCACCACTACCAGCAGAACCACCAACCCTCTTCTCATCATCCTCCTCATCTCGATACGGCCCATCACTCCCGGAGTCCGATAACTCCATCTCCCCAGTCCCATCATCGCTCAAAAGATCCTCATCACTCTCCCCCGCAAACGCATCATACAACTCCCCTCCCTTCTTCTTCCTCTGCTTCCGTCCCAGCCGACCAACACCACCAGCACCCATATGTCCCGCCCCATCGCCATCGTCATCCCCACCACCATTAAGCGGATCCGTGTCGTCGCTCCCATCAATCATCTCAAACTCATAATCATCACGCGGGTTGTTGCGGAGGCGTTTCCGGCGCTGGACGAGGAAGTAGACGCCCAGCGCGGCGCAGAAGATGAGGATGAGCGTGAGCGAGCCGTAGATCCAGACTTGGGTGCGTTTGGAGACGCCGAAGGTCGGGAAGAAGGAGGGGAGGAAGCTGTCGGGTTTGGATGGGTTGGCGCTGTCATGGTCGTCAGGACCTGAGGCCGAGGTAGAATCGGTGGGCTTCGCGTTGACGGGGCGGTCGACGCCGTCTGATGGGATGGAGGTGGGGGTGGGGCGGCTGGGTCCGCCGGGGGTGGTTATGGGGGTGGTGGTTACGACGGCGGGTTCGGTGTCGTGGTCGTGGTCGTTTTCGGTTGGCAAGGGGTGGAGTTCTTGGATCTTGGGGTTGATGGCTTCGCCCCATAGGTTTAACTGCCAGTCGATGAAGGTGCCGTTGTGTTCGTTGACGATTGTGTCCTTGACAATTACGGTCCATTCGCCGATGCCGGATTCGCCCCTGATATGGTAGGAAAATGGTGTTAGGTTTTTGTTTTTTTAAGATCTAACTGGGGGTTTGAAGATATGATATATGATCGGGGCCCGAGGAGCTATTCCTTTCATCGGGTTTGCTACTTACCAATGAGCGACGGACATAAATGTCCAGTCAACATATCCAACAGCGTGATCATCATTTTTCCTTGTCGTACTTAGAAGGCTGACGACACCAGACGGGCTGTGAAGTTCAACACTTAAATCACCGCGGCGGGTATGGTTGACATTCATCGTGAGAGTAACATGTTCTATACGCTCGATGTTATTCATGTCCAACATCTTTTTGGTGACTTCGAAGGAGCTGGCAAGCCCTGTCTCTCCCTGGGGGATTGGATGGTTAACCTGCTGCCAGGGGGAATGCATCCAGGCTTGCGGTTTCACCAGCTTCCACTCCTTAGCTAGATGGACAGCAGAGTATGCGTCTACCTTCCCGTAGCCGAACTCATGGCTGAACTGCTTTCCGATACTAGTCTCCTGCCAGTCGCTATCGTTTAAATGGACCGGGATCGCAGTCTCTAGGAGGATATATTGGACATCACGCCAGGTCAACTCGGGGCGGACACTTAATGCAAGCGCCACAACGCCCGCAACCAGCGGGCCAGCAGCAGAGGTACCACCATGTCTTGTTGCACATGAATCCACTCCAACGTCAGTGGTGTGTATGGCCCCGTTGGCACCACTGCTATACGTTACCACGAGCTGCGCGGAGCACCACTCAGAATAATACGGGTGATTATCATCGCGATCGACAGCTCCTACGGTGACACTGTATATGCTGTTCGTGTAGCCATCAAAGTTGCAGTTGTCTTCATTTCCAGCACCGTTGCCCGCCGCGAACACGTATATCGAACCTCTCCCAGCTCTTCCCTTTTGGATTCCGTTGACAAGTGCCCGCCGGATGAGTATACCGGGGGCATCCATGGTGGCGCCATCGTCGATAGGGCCCCAGGAACAGGAGTATATCTGGTTGTGCTGATATTTGTAGTTGATCGAAGCGGCTTCATCCTCGTCTGTCACGGGTTTGGAGAGTATACGGATCCCAGAAACTTTGCTATCATAAGCCACTCCAACGCCACAGACATTATTTCGCACCGCTGCAATCTCTCCAGCGCACCGCGTACCATGTTTATCGTCAAATAGTCGGGGCTTGGGCACGGGCGACTTGTCATTGTAATCATAAGATCCCTCCGCAAAGTAGTTATCCATAAGATCATTGCTGTTCATATCCAACCCATCATCCACAATGGCGGAGATCACCCCCTCGCCAGTTATGCCTTCGAGCCAGAGGCCTGTCACGTTGAGATCATGGCCCACCTCAACGGTGTTAAACAGATGCCACTGATCGGCGAATATTGGGTCCTCAATTTCCAAAGTAGTTGCGATATGACGCAGTCTTTCCGTAGCGTTATAACCCTCATCTTCCTGAACTTGCGGCTTCGACTGGCGGGCCTTAGTTTTTGCTGTTGTCGGTGGTGGTGGTGGGGGCGCCCGTTTCACCATAGGAGGTCTCAAGGTCAACTTCTGCGACCACAGTATCCCGTCCAACACATCTGTCACCACGGGATCTTCCATACTCGAGTGCGATACATCCCGTTTCCTCCGCCTCCTCCGGAGCTTCAAGTCGTCTAATGTTTTGCCTAAATCCGAACCTGGCCGGCCCTTTGGTCTGGAAAATGTATGGTGGTCTGCCAATTCACCGACTTGGCCTTCATGTGTGGCTCCTAGTAGCTGCGCAATCTGGAGTGGCGAGACGGAGGGATCAAGATGGAGTGCAAAGTAATCGTTGGCATCGTGGTTACGAGGTAATATGGATGCGCGTGCGGTGTTGATCAAGAGTAGGGCAACGGCACCGGCGGCACCAATGAGTTTCATGCTGTGAATCTCCTACTTCCTTAACTTCTTGTTCCTTGCCGGTATCGAAGTTACGGGGTCGCTGTACACGGCGACACCGGCCAAACCGGCTCTGTCGCCGGGAAAGATGTGCAAAGAAGGGCGTGAAATGCTGATTGCCATCAACCATAACAACCGCGAACCTTACTCCAAGAGTTCTTTGTCACAAAAGCAGGGTGTTTGCGCGGAGGGTGGTTTTTTTGGGGGGGGAGGAGGAGGATGGGTAAAGGAGGGCGGAAAAAACGCTACGCAGCTAGCTCCCCGAGTATTCCTAGGCTATCGGCGAAGAGTTGATGGTGTTCTTCTTTTCCAGTGGTAGAAACCGACTTGAATACTAGTAACGGCTGGGTGAAGATAAGACCTTAAAGATAGGATAGGGGACAAGCTGCCTGGAGGAGAGATACGTAAACCGGTAGAACTAGACTCCCAAATGTAGACCAAACGGAAGGTTGGGAACAAACGAGGAGGAGAAATAGGTATGGAATAATAGAAGAGACGGTGAGTGTGGCTGTAGATAATAATAAATAGTATTGAATAGTTAGGGGACGTTGAAGATGCCAGCACGTATAATATTAAATAGCAAAAGATGCAACCGTTGCTTTGAGTACGGAGTACTCCGTAGTGATATTATTTAAAATAACTACGCAGTAGTTAACGTTAAATACACGCGGGTTGCCGCGCGGCGATCACTTGTACTGTAACTAACTACATACTTTGCTGGAGTTAAATATCTCGTCTCATCAACAATAAACATACCCAACTGTTCTAGTAACCGGGTCCTCTTCTGTATTATTATTAAATATTACTCTACATCTCCAATGATACCAAATTCGCATGCAAGCAAGGCTGGTTTTCTCTTCCTCCAGACTTCCTGTAGACTTCC